ACCATCCAAGGTATGAATTTGTGTTGCTTATAGCCACTAGGCCATATGTGTAGAAAAATTCCTTTGATTACTGGGGAAAATATTTTGTTGTTGGTTTTGGTTCATACTGTGTTATAATTACCTGATCAAATGTTCAAAAGATGGCCAAAAAGAGACAACAGTTGTGAAAAGCTATAGCTATATTCCCAGTTTAGAAGGGGAAGCAATCAAACTGGCACAATAAATATTTCATACAGCATGATTCAAAGGATTGGAGACTGTCTTTTGTAGGAGAAGGATTTAGTGAGTAGTGGTATGTACTAATCTTGCATGCTTATTTGGAAATAGCATGAACAAAATGTCAGAAGGCACCCATTGAAAAACTAAGAATTGTTACTTCACCATTGCCAGGTCCGAAAACAGGATGCAGGAAAACAATTTGTTACACTGGATGTATATATATATATATTTTTAAAAAAATCCCTATCTCAGGAGGATAAAATACATTCAAAATGTTCATTAATATAGTGTCTCAGAAGAACAAACCAACCAAAACATGTACAACATTATTTTGTAAAGGTATTTGCCAATATATAATATTTTTATAATCGTAGTATCACCTTTAAAAATGACTTGTGAGATGTAGGCAATTATATGCTTGAAAGCAGCACAAGCTGATTTAAATTTTTAAAAAGCTGATTTGCGCGTACTAGACTGCTTTTAAAGATTTGGGATTTTTTTTCCCCCAGAACTTGATGTACTGTAATGTGGCCATATCTGTAATTTACAAATCCATGAGAGAAACAATAAACACTTCTATTTTTGTAGTGTGAAATGCTGTGTCCTATATTAGGGAAAGTTAATTCTTTTAATATATATATTAAGTAAACAAAGTCAGTGTTAAGTGACATAGGTTTTGTTTCAGTTTGGCTTCTGTATTGCTGTGAAATCATTTTGGAATCCTTGATTTATATATATATATATATTCCAAAATGATTTCACAACAATGCAGAAGCCAAAATGAAACAAAACCTATGTCACTTAACACTGACTCTGTTTACTTAAAACACCAGGCATGGTCAAGTAAAAACTTCTTCTGGTGAAAAACATACAGTATATGTCTGTTACACTGAAAAAAAAATTATATGTCTGATTCTTCTGGTGAAGAAGTATATGTCTGTTACACTGAAAAAAGAAGTATATGTCTGTTACACTGAAAAAAAAATCCTAATCCAGTGAAATATGTGGCGTAGATATATTTGTGAATTTAAAAAATCATATCCTTTTTGCTCTACCTCATTAAACATAATTTACATGTCACTGAAATTATGAGTTTATTCACATTTTTTTAGATCTTCCACCACCACCAGACCCACCCCCTGGTCAGGGTTTAAGGCAACAAATAGGCTCTGGCCAACGTGGAGGTTCAACAGAGAGAAAAGGAAGCTCTCTAGAACGACAACATACAGCCACCGTAGATGAAACAAAGAGCTCTTTGGATCGTCAAGCTAGAACATCACTAGAGTGGCAGCGGCAAACCCAAGAATGGATAAGCGCCACAGAACTTCAAGGCCAGCAAAAGCAAGCATTTGGATCAGGTGTGTAGCAGCACCTTTTAAAGCAGCTCAGGCAGTTTCCTAACTATATTCTATTATAAGATCTCCTACAGGCAGTGAAGGTCAAGGCTTACATGGCTCTTCAGTCAAAAGAATAACACTTGACCTTCAGTTTGCTCCTGCAATGGTGAAGCTAAAGTACTAAAATCCTAAATGCATGCCTTTGTGACTTAATAAGGCTACATACAAAGGGGAGAAATGTACACTACATCTTATGTGTGATCCTATCTATCTATCTATCTATCTATCTATCTATCTATCTATCTATCTATCTATCTATCTATCTATCTATCTATCTATCTATCTATCTATCTATCTATCTATCTATCTATCTATCTATCTATCCATACATTGGGTTCCATTTTTTTTTAGTCCAGCTGAATTTGGTTTGGTTTTTGTTTTTTGTTGTTTTTTCTTTGCATGCACAGTGCACCAAAGTCCTTATTTTCCACTTTTATTCATACCTATTCCACCAATTTTTCACATTTTGACTGTTTCCCTGTAATAAGCTCAAAGTCAGCTTTGCAAGCGTTTGGGGTTTTTTAGGTGGTGGTAGGTGTTGATTGTATTTCTTTTGAGTTGTTTTTAAACAGATGAAGTCTCCTTGGTAAGCTTGGAGCCTTTTTTTAAGTCAAAAAGATTTCTTTGTAGATACATTTCTGCAACTTTCATTCAATCCTTTTCTCAGCTTAGGTGGATTAGTGATATTGTTTTATTATGTCCTGAAGTATTTTAATGACACACAGAAACAAAAATATCCAAAACCCCTAGGTAAAGGTAAAGGTTCCACTTGACAATTTTTGTCCAGTCGTGTTCGACTCTAGGGGGCAATGCTCATCTCCGTTTCCAAGCCACAGAGCCAGCGTTTGTCCGAAGACAATCTTCCATGGTCACATGGCCAGTGCGACTTAGACACGGAACGCTGTTACCTTCCCACCGAGGTGGTCCCTATTTATCTACTTGCATTTGCATGCTTTCGAACCGCTAGGTTGGCGGGAGCTGGGACAAACGACAGGCGCTCACTCCGTCGCATGGATTCGATCTTACGACTGCTTGGTCTTCTGATCCTGCAGCACAGGCTTCTGCGGTTTAGCCCGCAGCGCCACCACGTCCCCTATCCAAACCCTAACTATCCATTAAAAGAATGAGGAGCTTCAAAAATCTTTAAGTGACAAACAATTAGTCTATTATTTGACCATTTGTCCTGTGAAGACTGATGTCAAATTCATTTATTTTTATGATTAAGTAGCACTGAACTCATTAGAATTTGAGGTTGGGAGTTCAGTTCCCAATGTGTCTGTGAAGCGTTGGGTAAGCTCTACAGTCCCAGGGTATCCCCAGAAGAAAGGAACAGTAAGTACCTTGTGCCTGAGTGCCCTATCCCTAGAAAACTCTGGAAACAGTTGCCATAAGTCAGAAGTGATTTAAAAGCACTCTCCTCCTCCTTATTTAAAAATGCAAGACACAGTCTTTGTCTAGTGTTATACAGTATAACAGATACAAATTTTTAACCAAAAGCCTAAGTATCAGTTAATTGATAAAATACATATGCTTCTGCAACTCAGCTCTCAAGCAGTAAATTCACACAGAGATTTCATTTCTTTGACTCATGTTTTTATCAGAAGATGAACTGCAAAGGAGTATCATTTGAACAGAAGAATTTCATGTTATCATGTTTCATACCTGGCTGGATAGCTCAGTGGTTTAGGTCATCATGCTTCATACCTGGCTGGATAGCTCAGTGTTTTAGGTATCTCGCTGCAGAGCCAGAGGTTGGAAATTTGTTTCCTCACTGCCAGTATAGCCAGCCTATGTGACCTTGGGCAACATTTGAGTGGTCCTTCCATTGACATAGGAGATGTTATTCGCTCATGAGAAAGATCTAGATACAGTGGTGCCCCGCATAGCGAGGTTAATCCGTTCCAGATTAACCATCGCTATTCAGAAACATCACTAAACGGAATAGAAAAACCCATTGGTTTAATGCATTCCAATGGGCCCCAAAATCAACGTTCAGCGATGTTCCTCCATAGCGCAGGCGCAGCGATGTTCCTCCATAGTGCAAGCATTTTCGCACCCTCGGTAAGCGAGGGCAGGGTGTGAAAATGCTGCGCGTGGCCATTTTGGGTCTTCCGGCGGCCATTTTGGAACTGCTGAACAGCTGTTCCCCCGACATCGCAATGCGAAGATCGGTAAGCAAAACGCTTACCGATCGTCGCAAAGCGATTTTTGCCCATTGGAACCACGGTATGCGATTGCATTAGCGATCCCAAAAAACGGATCACTATGCGAATTCGTCGTTAAACGGTGCGCTCGTTATGCGAGGCACCACTGTAGTTCTTCAGATTGCTTCAATGTGTCCCCATTACGGTTATTGATGCCCCCTCTCCATCCCTGCCAGTGCCCTTTTTTTGCAATCATCATTCTACTAGCCGTGGTGACTTCCCCATTTTTTGTTATATAAAAGTAAGTGACAGTGCTACTGCAGCACATCAACCTAGCATGGCATGGTAATATTGTACCGAAAGACACCTCCTGTGTATTAGAACTGTGCTGTGTCAGTTAAGGAAATATTTTTTAAAATGATGAACATAGAGGGGGTTTATTTATCCTCTTTTTTATGTCACAATCCATTGAATATGTTATTAAATGAGTTTAATAAAATATATGGTGAGTGAAACAAGTTTTTAATGGGGAAACATTTTATTGAAAAAAGAGGGTAAAAATAGTATATATTCTGTAGTATCAATTGATGAACATAGAGGAGGGGGGTTATTTATCCCCTTTTTTATGTCGCAATCCATTGAATATGTTATTAAATAAGTTTAATAAAACATATGGTGAGTGAAACAGGTTTTTAATGGGGAAACATTTCATTGAAAGAAGAGGATAAAAATAGTATATATTCTGTAGTATCAATGAATGTAATATGCATTTGTATACTACTGTATTGAAAATAAACTGCATTTATACTGGCCAGTACTGAATTTGTATAGTACTGTATTGACAATAAACTGCATTTATACTGGCCAGTACTGCTGTCTATTTTTAACTTTTATGCCAATAATATGTTTGCTCTTCTACTAGTAGCTAGTGCTTCAGTGGTCAAAACTAATATAATGCACGTATAATAGGCGATACAGGATCCCCTTGTCTTGTTCCCGAATATAACTCAGACCTCTCAAATTCTATTCCATTATTCATTACTGTGGCATGCATGGAGGCCCAGTTCCCTCTAACTGCTCACTCACTGCATGGTGCTGGGATCCTTCAGAGATGGTGGCATAGCCCATGGAGGCCCAATTCCCTCTAACTGCTCACTCACTGGGCTCTGCATGACGCTGGGATCCTTCAGAGATGGTGGCATAGCAATTGCAGCAGGAGCCCGGCCAACTTTCCTCATCTCTCCACCTCCCTGCACAGCTGAACACTTTGATGAGGAGGCAGGATGTGGAGTCTCCCTGCTCAGTTGATCAGTGGCTGGCTGCATGAGGAGGTGGGGAAAGCCAGCCTGGCTCCTGCCATGACTGACACGCCACCGCCGCCACTGAAGGACCCCAGCTCCACAGTGAACCTGGTGAGTGAGACAGCCAGTTCTGGGGGAAGAGAACTGGGCACCTATGGTGCCATGAGTCATATTTGAATACAAACAGCCCATGTCTATTTAATATTCTACAAATTGCATCGGCCATATTGGACTATGTGGATGCAGCTTGTAATAAAACTATTCAACTTCGGGCCAAGAAAATTATAATTTTTCGAAAGGTGTGTGGCAACATAATCTTCCCAAATCTTACAAAAGTCAGCAGTAAAGCCATCAGATCCTAGTGTTTTCCCCTTTTTAAGCCCTTTAATAGCTATTTTTAGTAAAAATTACTGGGGCATGAAGTTGATGTAATTATCAGTTACTCCAATCTTCTGAGATTGGAGTAATTGATAATGAGCTTACAATGTTTTTATATTTATACCTGATGTTATTTCTGTTTCATATAATTCTTCATAGTATTCCTTCAAATTGTAGGTATCAGTTGCTGTGACATTACCATTGTATTACCATTTGTTTCTATAGAAACAATTGTTCTTCATCGTGGCCTCTGTGAATGCACACAAAAGGGTTAAGTCAGCGCCTGCGCTCGACCTCTCAGAATTTTCCAGAGCTTTAAGAAAAAAGTAACAAAGTTTAGGTTGCTCCCATAGCGCATGCTCCACCCGCCTCAGCCATCAGTTCCATTTTTCCGCTGTGCAATTTGGAACCCCCCACTTTGAGCTTTGTTAATATTTCCTTTGGATTGAATTTTTTTACGGATTTTTCAACTTTGGACTTCTCCAGACTACTCTTTCTTCTGTTGCCTCCCGACCATGGACTCCGAATTCCCCCCCCACTCTTTTTGCCTCACTGCACGGCCTGACCAATTCACAGTAAGACTATCCATTTTATTTCACCCAGCTTATGTCCCATTCTGGACCTTTCAGTCAGTGTGTTTTATGTTCATGAAAACTCCCTTTTTCTGATGGTCATGATCGCTGCCTGTTTTGCCTAGGCGAAGCCCACCAGCCTCAGTCCTGTAAGCACTGCAAATGTTTTACCAAAGCAGCTCTTAAGGCTAGGCAGCAGAGACTTACATTCCACCTTTGGGACAGGACCTTATCTTCCTCGAAACCATCAGAAATGAAAATTTATTCTCCTTCTGCAACCCCCCGTTCTGAGGTTAGAAATATCTCACCTCAGTCTTTGGTGAGCAAAGCTTCAGATAAGCCAGTGAAAAAGGCCACCGTTGCAAAAAAGTCATCCTCATTTGACGTTGAAGGCAGCCTCGAGCTCCTCCGCCAAGCGTCTGAAACAGACCAAACCAAAGACAACGGCTAAGACTAAAGAGCACCACAAACAACTGCCACCAGTCTCGACATCGGTGCCTTCTTGAAGACTCGTCTCGGGATCGAGAATCCATATCTGAGGCAGGTCCTTCTCTTCCTCCTAGACAAACTGAGCCTATACCACCTGAAGGCGTCACTTCTCCAACACCGAGCCAGCTTGCCCATGCTACTCCAAGCTTAGCTTCTGCCCCTAATATCCCTGTTTCTACCAGGCGGGCATCTTTGGCTCCATCATCGTCATCGATGGTCTCAAGACTGGACTCTCCACCTCAGAAACGTCCAGCTAAAACCAAACATTTATCTCCAGATCAATGTCGATTTCCTCGATGCAAAGTGGTAGTTCTCCCTCGGTCATCTCGGTGTTGACATAGAGACAAATATTACGACTATGACCATGCCGAGTCCAGCCACAAAAAAACATTGACGTCAACAGGATTATTCAGACTCCAACTCCTCTTTGACGTTGAGTGGCCATTGTAGAAGGAAGAAGAAAGTAAAATATGTATATGCATCTTTTTCTTCTCCTTTGACGTCCCCTCACAGACACTGATGCCAAAAACATCTCAACATTGACAAGAACAAGGAGGCTGTACAACATACTAAAAAGCATCCATCAGAGCCGATCCCACCATTCTCATAAGGTCTTCTCAGCAAACTGGTTCATCTTCTCATGGCGTCGACAGATGCACTCATAAGAGACCTCATCCACCATCAACATCAGAACAAGAAGAGATGTTCTCAGCTGACTCCTCTGTTCCGGAGGATGATGCCCCTCAGGAAGCATCTGCAGAGGAATTGCCAGGAGAGGTGGCAGAATCGGATGCAGCTGACAATCATGCATCCTTACCATTTGAGGATTTTTCATCTTATGTGCAGATGATCTCCAGGATGGCCAAAACCCTCAAAATGGACATTGAACAACCTGCTCCACCTTCAGAGGATCTTATCTTTGGGGACATAAATCAAGAACGATCCCCACCTCTCAGTTTAACGTTCATTCTGGCTTTAATGGACATAATAAAGGACGCTTGGAACCAACCCTACCCGTTTCAAGGCGCACAGATAATTTATATCGTGTGCATGGGGGTGACACAAATGTTCTTATGAAACACTATATTCCCAACTCACTTATAGTTGAGACAAGGTGCTCATGTCCTACTGGGAAATCCCATGTGACTCCGACAAATAAGGAAGGAAGAAATTTGGAGATCCTTGGTAGGAAAATCTATTCCCTTATTTCATCCCTCCTTCGAGTTACAAATTAGCAGACAACCTTGGGGGCCTACCAGAAGCAGCTGTTACGAATTCTACCAGCCCTCAAATTAACTCCTGATGATGTTTGGCAAGGTTTTTTTGAACACCTATGAAGAAGCCCAGACTGTTTCTAAATATTAAAGGTTAGCATCCAGGAATGCAGCGGATTCTGCATCCAAGGTCCTCATGTCAGCTGTCACCTTACGAAGACATGTATGGCTCAGAGCTGCTAATATCACGGAAGATGTAAAAACACGGGTCAAAAACTTACCCTTCGATGCCAAAGGACTCTTCAATGAAAAAACTGATGGGAATCTGGAAGAGCTGCATAAAAAGACAGCTAAGTCTTATTCTATACAACAACAACCCAAATACCAGAGATATCAGTGGCACAAGCAATATCCTCAATATTCACAATCTACTCAGCCTTACAAATCCTTCATGGGCCAAAATCGGGCCAGATCATCACAGGCATCATCCTCTACCTCTAACTACCGTCCCCAGCCATCTCAGCAAAGACAACCTTACAAGCCACCTGCAAAAAAGTCTAAGCAGTACCTTTGACTCCACCATGACACCATTCAGAAGGGATCTGAAAGCCCGGCTACACCCTTTTCTGCAAAATTGGATGAACATCACAAAAGACTCTTGGGTCGTAAACATTATTCAATTTGGCTACTGGCTGGAATTTACAGAGTATCCTCCTCTAGGATGGGTCAAGCATACAGCCTTCGATCCTGCTCTAGAAGAAGAAGTTCTCTCTCTCCTACAAAAGGAGGCCATTCAAATAGTTCCCCAAAGAGAAATAAAAAACAGGTACTACTCCTGTTACTTTGCCTTTCCAAAAAAGGGAGGGATCAGGCCAATTCTGGATATAGTTCCCCCAAGAGACATAAAAAACAGGTACTACTCCTGTTACTTCGCCTTTCCGAAAAAGGGAGGGATCAGGCCAATTCTGGATCTAAGAATGTTAAACACTTACCTTCATCCAAGACACTTCCAAATGGTGACATTGGACTCCATAATCCACCTACTAAGAAAAAAGAATTGGTTTGTAGTAATAGATCACAAAGACACCTACTACCATATAACAATCCATCCCAACCACAGAAAATACCTTCGGTTCATATTCCAAAATACCATCTACCAATACCGAGCCCTCCCATTTGGGCTCTCAACGGCCCTAAGAACATTCACGAAGTGCATAGCACCAGTGGCGGCCTACTGGCGTCTACACAAAATTCAGGTTTATCCTTACATCGACAATTGGTTAGTGGTCTCTCTGTCAAGACGCCAAGCTCTATGAGACACTAAATTCATACTCCGCACCTTAAAAAACCTTGGTATGTCAGTCAATGCCAAAAAGTCACATCTCATACCGTCGCAGATAATAGACTACATAGGTGCCAGACTGGACTCCATCAAAGGTCGGATATTTCTACCTCCAGAACATATCCAAAAGATACAAAGAGTTATACGCAAGTTTCGACCAGGCTCGCATGTCTCTGCAACGCATGCACAGAACCTACTCGGTCTCATGGCACACGCCCGTTTAAAGATGAGATCCCTCCAAACTTGGTTATTGACTCTCTTCAATCCCATGCAGGATCACCAGAAGAAACGTCTCCTTGTGTCAACAGAGCTGGCTCAGCAAATCCAGTGGTGGAGCTTCCCTCCTCATCTGCTGATAGGCCATCTCTTCAAACCTCTACAGCCCACAGTACAAGTGACGACGGACACAAGCCCAACAGGATTGGGGGGCACATTGTGGACAACACCAAGTACATGCTCTGTGGTCCAGCTGAGACAAAAATCTCCACATCAACCATCTGGAAATTCTGGCCGTCATAAAACCATTCAGAGCTTTTCTACCCCTGATACAAGGTCATGGTGTACAAGTGATCACCGACAACACCACAACCATGTATTATATCAACAAGCAGGGAGGGACACACTCCAGATCTCTTCGGTTCCTAGCTGTGCACCTTTGGGAATGGTGCTGTCCACACCACATCTTTCCAGTAGCAATACATGTTTCGACGACAGACAATGAGTTAGCAGACAGACTAAGTTGACTGACAGGCCAAACTCACGAATGGGAATTGAACAACAAGATCTATGCCACACTATGTCATCATTGGGGAACCACCAGGATGGACATGTTCGCAAGTCAGCTCAACAAGAAATGCAATCTATATGCCTCAAGGGCAAGTTATGGCAAGGACTCTCTGGGGGATGCATTCATGATCCCTTGGAGCTCAGACCTGCTATACCTATTCCCACCGCTTCCACTTGTACAAAAGACTCTGATCAGGATACATCAAATGAAAGTGGAGGCGATACTCATTTGCACCTTACTGGCCTTGTCAGGCTTGGTTCGCCACACTTCAAATGATGGCCTCAGACTTCATCAAATTGCCACTTCTACCACACCTCCTCACACAGGATGCAGGCAGTATACTTCATCCGGATCCAGAGACTTTGCATCTGACAGCGTGGAGAATCTCCCCGCTATCAAGGAGGTTCTAGATAAGGCTAGAAAACCTTCCAAAACCCTTCTATATAGTTAAAAATGGAAGAACTGCCTAAAATTTGCTGAGACCAGACATCTGGAGACTTCTCCCATCTCACTGTCGATTTTACTCCAGTATCTATGATACCATTTTGATCACAATTTGACTCTTTCGACCCTGAAGGTCTATATTGCTGCGATTGTCTCGTTTCAACTTAGAGAGTCAGACTTGCCAAGACTATTCTCTCACCCTACACTAAAGTCTTTCCTCAAAGGACTTACTAACATTAGGCCACCTACTAAACCACCGACACCTCAGTGGTCCCTCCAGTTAGTTCTACATGTGCTTATGCGCCCACCTTTTGAACCCATGGTCACATGTGATCATTATTTTTGGTGGCCATTACATCTACTCGAAGAGCAAGTGAACTAGCGGCACTTAGATCAGACCAGCCATACTTGCAGTTTTTTAAGGACAAGGTAGTGCTTCACCCAGACATATATTTTCTGCCTAAGGTGGTCACCAACTTCCATCTCAATCAGCCCTTGATGTTGCTTACTCTCTTTCCGGATCCAAAGACAGATACTGAACGCATGCTCCATACCCTGGATGTGAGAAGAGCATTAGTGTTTTATGTCTCCTGTACCAAAGAGTTCCATACGTCGCATAGACTGTTCCTGTGCTTCTATGGGCAGAAGAAGGGCTCTCTAGCTCCATCGTCAACCCTCTCCAGATGGCTTGTCTCCACCATTTCACTAGCGTATGAGCTTCAGCATAAAACTCCACCTGAAGGCCTTTGAGCTCACTCAACTAGAGCCAAGGCTACATCCACAGCCCTGCTACATGGTATTGACGTGCCTGTCATCTGTAGGACAGCTACATGGTCTAATGTGTCAACTTTCATAACTCACTACAGATTAGACCTCAGGGCTAAAAGAGAGACAGGCTTCAGGAGAGCGGTGCTGACATCCATTCTTCAGTGATGGCCCTCCTTCTGGTAAATGAGCATGCTACTCACCCTTTTGTGTGCATTCACAGAGGCCACGATGAAGAAAGACAGGTTACTTACCTGTAACCATGGTTCTTCAAGTGGACCTCTATGAATTCACACAGCCTGCCCAGCCTCCCCACTATCCGTCACTGATTAAGTCTATATAAGCTCAAGCTTCTGTGGCGGATAAATGGAACTGAGGGCTGAGGCGGGTGGAGCATGTGCTATGGGGGCAACCTAAATTTTTTTACTTTTCTTCTAAAGCTCTGGAAGATTACGAGAGGTCCAGTGCAGGTGCTGACTTAACCTTTTTGTGTGAATTCACAGAGGTCCACTTGAAGAACCATGGTTACAGGTACTGTAAGTAACCTGTCTTTCTTCTAGTGGCATTCCTTTTTACTGTGTACAATAGCAATTTAGCATTTTTATTTCCATATACATAAGAGTTCCTCTTTAAATAGCTCGTTGGCACTTGGGTTTTACTTCTAAGTTCTGCTTTGGTTCTTGTTAATTTGGTGAATATTTTATTAGAGCCTGAATTCATGTTTTTCTGACAGTCTCTTTATCTTAGCTTCTAACTGTTCTTGTGATCTGTTTCTCTCTTTCTTTAATCTTGACCCCCTCCATTATAAATGTCACTCTTAAATACATTTTAAGAGCATCCGGTAAATATATTGGTTTCACCTCATATTTATGATTTGTTTCATTTAAAAAAACCTTGATATAATTTCAATTTTTTCAATAATGTGTGGGTTTGTGAGGAGGCTATGTTATCTATCTATCTATCTATCTATCTATCTATCTATTATCCAGCCTATCTGGTCTTACGACCACTCCACTAGAACTTTGATTCCAAATCTTCAGTTTATTCATTGAGATATTATTAGCCCATTGGACTTTTATTAGAGCATGGTCAAATACTAATATAAGAGCGAAATCTGTGTTAGCTAATAGTGGAGCAAGTGATTCTGAAATAAATATACGGTATATCATGTAACAAATTCAATATTTATTTGAAAAGAAATAAATTATATTTAAATTATGTAGTATATCACCTATTAAATTCGTATACTGTAATTTTAAAAAGTAGAATATATTAAGGGATGTTAAGTGCTTGCATTGCAACTATATGGAACAGAAATGTCCACATTGTTTTATTCTCCTATCTCCAATCTTCCCTCCCTCCATACCCAACAGATGACATTAAATGATGTCACAATTAGTTACAATTAGTGGGACCAAGAGCTATTGATCCTGTGAAAAAATCTCAGTCTAATAACCTGCATTGCAATATGTACTGTAAATCAGAGGATACAGGGAATGCTAATCATATTTATGGATAACACAAAATTGGGTGGAATAGCTAACATCCTGGAAGACAGAAACTAAATTAGAAATGATCTAGATACTGTAGGCTTAAGCACTGGGCTGAAAAAACAGAATGAAATTCAACATGGATAGGTGTAAAGTACTGCATCTAGAAAAAAGAAACCAAACACACCATTACAAGATGGGAGATACTGGCTCAGCAATACTACGAGCAAGAAGGATTTTGGAGTTGTAGATCAGAAGCTGAATGTGAACCAACAATGTGATGTGGCTATTTTAGGCTTCATGAACAGAAGTATAGTCTCCAAATCCCATGAGGTACTAGTTCCCCTCTGTCTGGCACTGGTTATGCCTCATTTTTAATATTGTGTTCAGTTCTGGACACTGGACATTAAAAAGGATGCTAACAAACTGGAACAATTTCAGAGGAGGGCAACAAGGATGATCAGGGGGCTGGAAACCAAACCCTATGAGACTGAAAGAACTGGGTATGTTTAGCCTTGAGAAAAGATGACAGAGGGGAGATATGATGGCACTTTTCAAATACTTGAAAGGCTGTAATATAGAGGAGGGGCAGGATCTGTTCTCAGTCGTCCCAGAGAGCAGGACACACAGCAATGGGCTGAAGTCACAGGAAGCCACATTTGGTTGAATATCAGGAAAAGCTTCCTGACTGTTAGAGTAGTACAACAATGGAATCAATTACCTCAAGAGGTGGTGAGTGCTCCAACACTGGAGGCATTCAAGAGAAATGTAGACAACCACCTGACAAATATCCTTTGATTTGTATTCCTGCACTGAGCAAGGGGTGGATTCAATGGCCTTATAGGCTCCTTCCAAATTAATGATTCTACGATATACTAATATAGGATTTTAAAAGACCTTTCAACTATTTTGTAACTATATATATTATTTCTTATCTCTATAGACAGTTGTTTCAGGAGTCTTCCCCATGCTTGCAATTATTCCAGCAAAGTAGTATGATGGTTGTTGTGGCTTTTTCGGACTCTTTGGCCGTGTTCTGAAGGTTGTTCTTCCTAATGTTTTGCCAGTCTCTGTGGCCGGCATCTTCAGAGGACAGCACTCTGTGCTCTGGTGTAGACCCCGGCCGTGAAAGCCTTTGCAAATAGAAAGTAGTATGATATTACAGCTGGGTTGCGTATTGTCTTCTACAAGAGATCAAGCACTGGCCCCAACCTTGAGGAACTCAGGGAGTATTCCAACAGAGTTTTGACATTTTAATAGTTTTTTCCCCTTTCTACTCTCTTTAACCATAACTGCATTCTATTTCCTCGAGAATTCTGTTCTTGTTGAGTTTTTGCTTTTTTAGTCAGATCTGAATCTTCATCACTTTAGTTGTTCCATTGTAGTTGTAACTCTAGTTTTATGTCCAAGCCCTATAATCAATTTGAAATGAAATCCCCAGTCATTGGCTTTGGAGTTAAATGAAGTTGTAAATGGCTTCCACTGTCTGCGCTTCTAAATTGTTTGAACAGCCAAGTCCTGGAAGATTTCAGTCTCCTCTCCTTCATACAATGACTCATTTACATTGCTTAATGCATGGTGTACTAATTTTGCTGTGCAAATTTTAGTAGTATCTTTTCAGCATGCTACTTGCTCAGGACCCACTCTTTGAACTTTTTCCAAGTCTTCTGATCTACATCCAGGCAAAGGTCATGAATGCATTTCGGAATTGTATATTTCAAGTCCTCCATATTGTCCCCCTTTTTAAAATTCCTCATACATAAGTTCTAATGGCGATTTTGATTTTCTTGATTTTCAACTTTATCTTTCAGTAGTCTTAATTCATTTTCCATAACATCACTTCTAGTCTGTTGGTGCTGAGCTAGTTCAAAAGCATCATTAGCAATCTTCTCTGTTTGTTTAATGTTAGCTTTCATTTCTGCCAGTGTTTCTTTTACTGACGCTAATGCTGCTTTCATATCTGTTTGCAAGTCTTTCCTTAATTGCTTTAAAAGCTGTTTCATATCTTCACTGAGCTCACTAGTTAATTTGCTTTTCCTTCATCCCTTTCCTTTCGTCTTACCCATTGCCATTTCACTATCAGTGTCGTCCGAGGATTCCACTAAATCACTTTGATCTTCTGCTTCAGAAAAGGCATCCAGTCTACTTTCTTTTGCCATCTTCTTTGATCTTCCCATTCCCATGTTTATTTGCAAATGTTACTTAACTACTGGCCAACTTTCATGGTTTTATTAGAAGCAGGCATAAAGCAGAGCAGATCTTTTATGCTGCCATCTTCCATGGCAGCAAGCCGTACCTTCCTGTGTGTGAGCTACCACCTGGGGTCTGGATCCTTATCTTCATTGTTTAAGGCCTATTTGAAGGAAATGAGATATTTTCTATTGACTATAATTAAATTGCATTGTCACAGGGCATCGTCCTGGAAACCTTGAAAACAGAGGTTATATTACCTTTATTAAAGAGAGCTACTATGATCTGAATGCCCAATGCGGTGTGTGGTGGATAAAGTGATGAACTAAGACTCAGGAGCCCTGAGTTTGAATCTCCACTCAGCCATGGAAATTCACTATATAATTGGCAAAACTTCTTCTGAAAATCTCACTTACCTTGAAAGCCCTATTAGGGTCTCTGTAAGTCAGTTCTGACTTGAAGATTCTGACTTACAAACATACAGAACAACTATGGACAGGAGACAAACATCTAGTAAACAGTTTCCAACCTGCCTTTCTTTGGGGAGCTTGCTGAAAAGATGGTAACAGAGCCAATATCCAGAAACACCTGGAGGATACATACATACTTGATGTTTTCAGTACAGCTTACAACCTGACTATGATACTGGCACAGCTGTGGTCTACCTAGTGAAATACCTGTCTGGACAAAGGTTAGTCAACTTTGCTGATATTGTTAAATCTTTCAGCAGCCTTTGATACATTGAATCGTGGTATATTGTTGGAGAGATGTGGCTCTTGCAGTGGTTCAGTGTGGTCAGGTGACTGAGGGTCAACAAATTGAAGTTGAATCCAGAGAAGGCGGAGGTAGTGGTGGTCACTTGGCAACTGATAAATCCAGCTGGCATTTCTCTGGTGGTTTATGGAGAAATAAAATTGCCCTTATGAACCAGATAAGACGTTTGGGTGCCTCTTGCTGTAGAAACAGGTGGGAACTTTGGCCAGGTCTGAGTTTCATCATCTGTTCCCGGTCCTGAAACGTTCTCCTTACTTGAAGAAGGTAGCTGTCACCATGTGATCCATACAACTGTAAGCTTGAGATTAGACTACTGTAATTCACTCTGCATAGGGCTATCCTTGACTACAACTCAGAAGCTGCAACTGGTAAACTATGTACCAGTTAGACAGCTAAACAATTAACAGGTATTTTCTGCCATTTTCATATGACATCTAATTTGCACCAGAAGCTTTGGCTGCTAATGGTTTTCTGGGTTCTATTCATAGTGTTGATTGTTACATTTAAAGTCCTACACAACATGATACCCACATACCTATTGTACTGCCTCGAACCCTATGAGCCTATGCAGCAGTGGAGGTTGTCCAGAATTGTCCTTCTAAAGGTACAAACTGTTAAAGCTCCCCAGATTGAATATATTAGAGAATTATCTTTTTGTGCTGCTGCCTATATATTTTAGAATTCTTTTCCCAAGTCCTTGAGAAGCATGACATCTCTGCAGGGATTCAAGAGGGGATGTAGGGTGGAATTGTTTTTATTGGCATTTGGATGTTAAGAACCTCCTATTCTACCATTTATATGGTGGATATTCATTATGGGTAATGTACAGAAGATTAAATTATTGATTAGACTTTCGGTTGTTGTCAATTTTTGTTTGCATTTTTATCACGTGAAGCATTTCATTACTTGATAAATATAATGTGCTGTGCATGATTCTGGCTGTCTTTGGACAGAAAACAGTGTACAAATGAAAATCATACATACATACATACATACATACATACATACATACATACATACATACATACATACATACATACATACATACATACATACATACATACATACATCACCTCACAAATCCTATAGGAATTCTGAAGCCAAGTCCTTTGGTATGCATTCTGTGATTTTTCTGCTCTATTTACAGACCAAACAATTCACATTTTAAACAAGGATCATTTTTCTATACAATATTTAAAATTCCAGGATATATTAGTTGCCGTTCTTCAACTAAAGTTCCAATTTGTGGTCTTCTATGGGAAATCATCCATATCCAAACCCTAATGGAGAATCCAGTGTGTGAAAGAGAACAGAACTCTCTAAAATAGTCCGGTGCTCCACATGTTTGGTATATTCCATATTCACAAGCTTTATAAAAGAAAAGCATTTAAGTTTCATAAAAGAAAAGGCATTTCCTTGTAGAACAAGCCAAGGCACATGACATGTTGTCTTGTAAGTTTCATAGGCCAACAAAATGTCATTTTAGTAAAATGGCATGTTCCCAAACTGCTGTAAAATGAAGTGAGACTAATCTTCTCAAATGCTGAAAGTATGTGAAGAATATATACTGACCCAGTGGTTATGTGAAATGAGAGAATACTCATTACAAGCAAAAAATCCTGACTGGTACAGGAGGAGCCCTATGTATATAGTAGTCACCTAAGCATTCCACTAAGCTGCTGAATATTTTCAGACAATATCAACATGCTCGACAGCCTAACTTTCTTGTTAGAAAGCATAGGGGATTCATTTAACCTTCCACTGGTCTTGGACAAGATGTACCAAACTAGCTTTCTAATTACTGTAGTATGGAATTAGTGTAAGCAGTGCATATTTTATTTCTTCCATTTGGGGATGGGGGACAGGTACAAATCACAGAATTACAGATTTGTAGAACTGAAAGAAACCCAAAGGATTATCCAGGCCAATCCCTTGCCAATGGGAAAAAACCCACAGATAAAGCATCCCAGACAGAAGGCCACTGAATGCCTCTTTGAAAATTTGTACAAAGAATAGTTCATCACCTTTCAAAGTAACCCATTCCACTGTTAAGCACCTAGTACTGGCAGGAAAAACTGGGTTTAGTCAGAAAATGTTTCCTTATCACATATGTCTAGCAATCAATCAGGCTTTATTGATCACTACAAAGGTTTAACTTTCCCACTCCCCATTTTGGAAAACATACATACAAAGTTCCCAATCTTCAGATTTTATTGTTGTTACAGCATTTAAAACCGTATGTGTATGATATGTAGAATTGCCCAACAATATTGCTGTCCAATGGTCAAGACAATCCAGATATCTTTTATATAAGACTATAATAATACTCCTGTTCTTTCCATTATGTTTACAGAAGAAGCACTGGTGCCATATAGCAAGCCTAGCTTCCCATCCCCAGGTGGTCACAGTTCTTCAGGTACAGCATCTTCTAAAGGATCAACTGGACCTAGAAAAGGAGAGGTCATGCGAGGAAGTCATCAACGTAACACCAGTGACCTCATTGATGTAGGATATGTTGGATCAAACAGTCAAGGACAGTTTTCTGGTGATTTATGTAAGCCTTTTTTTAACATAATAAAAGTAAAAATAAATGAACTTTGTGACAAGAACAAGACAACAAATGCTTACCTTTCTATTCTGTTGGACTGCATATGCAGAAACCATTAACAACATAACTTCAGTATATGATATGGCTTGTTAACTGGGCACATCCTATCAAAATTTACAATACAGTAAATCTAAATCCAAATATAGTCATAGAGACATAGTCCTGGCTTAGTGTACCAAAGAACAGAATAATAGAAACATAGAATCATAGAATAGTGAAGTTGGAAGGGGCCTATAAGGCCATCAAGTCCAACCCCCTCCTCAATGCAGGAATACAAATCAATGGATTTTTTGGTTTGTTTATTCATATTCCAAATTTCTCTCCATAAGGCACCCAAGATAGCTCATTGTTTGTTTATTCATATGCCAAAATTCTCTCCATAAGGCACCCAAGATAGCTCATAACTAGAGATGGGGGTATTTGTATATGTATATGAATACAAATATCCCTCACAGGTGGAGATAACGAGGGTCCAGCCCCATGGTGCTGGACGGTCCACTCACCGATCTGACGCTACTGCAGACTCTGCGATCCTATTCTATCATTCTGGACCTTGCGATCGGCAAGCCATTCTTCGACCTGGCAGAGAGGCTTGTCATCCCACCTCCTGCCAGGAGTGGCTAATCTATTGTGAGCTCCAGAGTGATAGGATGGAATTGCGGAGCCCGCAGCAGTGGCAGATCAATAAGTGAACCATCCAGCACCATGGGACCAGACCCTCGTTATCTCCATCTCTACTCACAAATGCTAAAACTATACAATGATCAACAGTTTTAAAATATATACCATATATATACCATAATAAAAACATACATGAAGATTAAAACCAAGATTAAAAGCAATTAAAATTTAAATCTCTAATAAACATAGCATTCCTGAGAAATTTATTGCTTAAAAGCCTTCCTGAAAAGGAAGGTATTTGCCTGATGACTATTGATATGGTACAAGTCTTGAGGCTGTTCCAGATAGACCAATTGTCCACCTCCTGTTTCTGCCACTTGGTGTCAGAAAACCAAGCAATTTACTTGGATTTGCATCTAAACAAATCTACTTCTCTTCTCTTTAAGAAAAAGTTTTTTCTTTAACAGGTCCTTTTGAAGAAAATCAAAATCAGGTGGTTGGTTGGTTGGTTTGAGTGTTTTAAAGTAATAATTTAAAGCTTCCAACTATGAAGTTCTCACCTGGATATAAGCTTTAATGGAAAGTGTCATAGTGCTAAACTTCACACCCCAGAATAGAGGAAGCTAAAATATAAACTAAGCTTTCAACACTACATAATAGCACGGAAAATAACAGACGTTCAGAGGGGAAAAGGAAATAAAGTCCTGATACTATCATAAGCATAGCATTAGATTTAGTCCTTCTTTTCCTCAGTGGTTCTCCATGAGATAGTCATTTTGTAGTGTATACTGTCATTGACATGTGCCTGGAAAGCTTCCTGATATGATACTCTGGTTACTAGGGAAATACTCTCTGTATTGTAAAGAATGAAGTATTTTCATGAAGAGTGATTTTTATTTTCCTACAATAATTGTTTACATTTATATCTTGCATTTAACAAAACTGATGTTTCTTATGGCCTGTTTAAAATTATGTGTGATGATGTATGTATACAAGTTAAAATCAAAGCATCTTAAAATATAATCATGTTCTTGCTCTTTATTTTAACAGAGTAGTTGAACAGAGACATCTCGAGCTGCTCTCAAGGGCCATCAAGGTCTGATCTCATGGAAGTGATGACACTAAAACAGTGCAATGAACATTTTCTTTATTTATGTACTTACTATTAGAAGAACTGTAAATGCAATGTAAAGACACACAGCCACACATATCCCACAGATACTCTACTTGTGTTCTTCTCTCTACTACACCTTCCACCTTAATCTATTTCTTAACAAGCATATATAAAGAAAATCACCCTCCAGGATGATATGGATTTCCCTTGTACATAATTTCTTTTTATTGCATTGCTATGCAAGCTCACCTTTTTAGCTATGTTCATATTAATGTCTGTTCTTATTGGTCTGTTGTACTATATGTGAATTAATAGGCTGTGGTGCCATATAACTTTTAATTGTGTAACTTTTTATGTTTAAAGTTTGCACTGCAATTTCTTTTGTTGGTGATAAGCACAAAACTCTTACTCCTTGTGACATGAAGAAGAAGAAAAAAGACTGAATGTGAAAGGAGTCTATGTACTGTAAGCTATGTTGGATAATGCTGGATGTAATGAATTATGTTAGGTGGTTTTCCATTTGGGTGTAGAATTAGGAAGTTGACTGGCAAAACTGATGTTAGCAAAGGCTTATTGGGGCATCAGGGATGGAATCCCATGTGAGATAAGCAACATGTTGCTTTTACCATTTAAAGGGGTCGTATGATAGACGCATGTGTTCAAGACCAGATTAGAACATCAAAGCCTTCTCTCTTCTTAGTATCAGTTTCCATTTGCTCAACACAGTTGAACTTGTGGGAAGGAAGTCAAGGTGTTTCACTAAGGCTTTCCCCCCTAAAATAAATATATTACAGTTTATATAAGTACTCTAAATGGTTTGCTTTTCTCTTCAGGAAACATGAACCATATGAACTAGCGGAATACCTAGCAAGAGTTCAAGGTGCAATTTATGATTGAGATATCCAAGCTGCTTCCAAAAAAAAAAAAAAATCTAGACTATAGCTGTGTTCTGGCACTTTAACACTGGTAGTTTCTACACATATGGTGGGGACAGACATGGTACACTAGTTCTGCTTCCTCTGTCCTTGTGTTCATCACCCTCCACCTATACATGCTGACGAACTCTAGTGGAGAGCCTCTTATATCTGTAGATGCATGTTATGCAATTTAGAACTGTGAAAAAATGGATTCTAAATTTCACAGTAATGATGCATACCAGAGTATATTCAGAATGAACAGGTGCTCCTTAACAACTGGAGGGATTGAAAAACAGGACAGAGGCAGGCAGAGTTTGTGTTCTTGTGCCTACTCTCATGTCATGACTACACATCTTAATGTGTCTGAACAGGGCTTGTTTTTGTTCATCTTTCCAATACATGTACAGTACAATGGAAGGTGTAGAGCTGCATCACTTGAAATTCATGCCATAATTATTTTTATGCAGACTAGACATATTTTTGTGTTGTATTATCTAAAATTTCCAGATACTAGAACCCAGTTCATTTGTACTTAAACTTCAGGTTGAAATGTTTGAAGAGAAAGCAATGCTAAATTTGTGCTCAGTTTGAAGTTAATATGTCTTTTGCCAATTCACCACATTATTGGAAACTGGATAAAAAGAAGAAAACATCTTTGACCTATTTTTGATGAGTAAATTTTAAGCCTCTTCTTATGAAAACATGATGCATGTTTATACACTTTTTGAATAAACCAAACTCTCTGTAAGTGGACATTAACAAAAGCATCTTGTCTCATCATTAGTTCTCATGACTTCCTTCAGTTTCTCTACAGTATTTTTAGTTCTCTGTTAGAAATACTGTTCATGTATAATAATTGCATTAAACATTTTATTTAAAGTTTACATTGCCACAGTCACTTCATACAGTCATGTCATTATGACAAACATCCATTTAAACACATCTTGCATACAACCAGGCCATGTTATTTTAGATTTTGCTTTGGGACTGACACTGCTATTAAATGAAGTACATTTTTAGAACAAAACTAAAACAAAACAACCTGCCAAATATGCATTGTTTTTATTACATTACACTGGGATAATTGATAAGACAGAAAGTTTTCATTAGCAATTGTAAATCAATATCGCAATTATCAAATTATCCCAGTTACTTGAAAACAGAGCACTGGTGAACCAAAAACAATATACCTACATATGCATCAAAGAAAATATTTTTGTTTGAGTGTCTGTGACCAAGGATTTTATGTAATATTTCTTCTTATTAAAATGCTGGATATAGGTAAAGCCATTCTTTTATAAATGTACAGAAACATTCAACAAATGTATAGAAAACTGGATTTCCCCCCTTTTCATGAGCTGAATATGTTAACATGAAGGTGGGCACCATGTTCCAGCACTACTCATCTGGGGTTGACCAGTCCTCACACTTCTAAATTTAGAAGATTTGAGGAGCTTCTAAATTAAATTCTTCATAGTGCAGTCAGTTGCTGATTGGGAAAAGGAATTTAGCAAAAGTGTTCAATTCAAACTGTGTGCCTGTTTGGCCCTTCTCGTTGATTTGGTAATCAGTGATACGAGTTGAAAAGCCTCTGACAGCTTTGAGGAATTTAGCAATAGGCAACTGTTGTTCTTTGAGGGTCTTTTTTCATAAGCTCTCAATTATTCTGAGAAATCTGCACTCCAGCCATAATTATATGTGCCTCAACTTTTTCTGCAGTGAATTGTTTTACAAAGGTAGATTCATATGATCTTTTTTTACTTTGGAAAAACATCCCACCGGGTGACTTAGATTATAAAAATATTATTTGTATTCTGAGTGTCTCAGCAGGTGCTGAAATTACTCATTAATCTGAAATTTTCAAGAATCAAGACATACAAATAGAAGTTGACTCATGATCAACTTTATAATGCTGATAAGTTTATAATGCAATGATATATGAGGATATAGTTCACAACATATTGTGGCAAGCTTACTTTTCACATAAACAAGGTCAATAAGAAGTGATCAGTTGGACTTAACTGAAGTATACATTGGCTTTTGGTTTACAGCGGATTTCCATGCTACCAGAGCCAAAAAAGTTATTATACCCAATTGAGCTGCATGCATCCTCCTTTGAGTAAAGTATGTTTTTAGTCAATGTTGTTATAGCCCATTTGTGTGGACTGTATCACTAAACACCATTTTGATGAAACCAAGCATCCTAGGTGACATACTACTGTAAAGGATATAACAATAGAATTAGATCTAGTTGTGCTGATAAAAGATACCCAGAGTAAGTACAAGCAATTTCTGAGATCTATGCAACCAGAGGGTTCCAGGTAGTGTTGTGATCCAAATTAAAATATGTATGTGGCAAAAGTCCTCATAGGTGTGGCGCTACCTCCAGAATGCATGAGATTCCACTAATATTATACAGTGGTGCCCCGCAAGACGATGTTAATTTGTTCAGCGAAAATCGCTGTCTTGTGAAAACATCATCTTGCGAAATGCGGTTCCCCATTGGAATGCACTGAAATCCGTTTAATGCGTTACAATGGGGAAAAATTGTCGTCTTGCGAAAATCACCCATAGAGAAACCGTTTTGCGAAGCGTGGATCAGCTGTAAAAAATCGCTGCTTGCGAAAAACAATCCTGAAAACACCCGTTTTGCAAGTCACAGACTCAGCTGTCAAAATTATCCTGCAAAAATCGGTCCCAAAAATGTTTTGCGAAGCATGGTCCAAAATATGGTCCAGCGAAAATCGCCCATAGGAAACACCATTAGCAATCACAAAAACTCATTGTGTAGCGAATTAACCATTTTGCGAGGTAATCATCTAGTGGGGCACCACTGTATATGCACATTGCAATGTGCACATTAAAGCCACTTTGAAATATTTGGTGCTCCAATAAACCATATGGCCTTCCTGAATATAATTTTCTCTTATAAACTTGTGCTGAGCTTTTGTGGAACACCTTACAGAGCAATTCCTCTTTTTAAAAAAACCAACCTGAGTATATATAGCCATCCCCAGTTCCTTGAGATATGTGTTCCATATTTTGAGTTGGAATGTTTTGTGTCAGTATTATATCTGTGCAGTACAATAATATCACTGGCTATTACTGACTACTAAATAATTTTCTTTATTAATATTTTTATAAGATCATATAAAAGGTAATTTTAATGTATAGCAACCACCCATTCTTCTAAAAGGTGTAGCTTCTATCTTTCTCTCCTTCTGTCTCTGTCTCTAACTGATTCAATGTATTTCAGATGTTCACAAAACATATTTTTTAAAATGTACTGTAATTTAACATTTTTTAAAAGAAAAACTTTTTTTCCTTTTTTATAATTGAAAATATTTCTTGTGCATAATGTGTCTAAAGGAAGGGATGTAGTGGCAGCACTTAGAACTGTTTTCTAATTTTTTTATAAAATTGTTCATTATCAACAGTTTGTTCAGTCACACACACACACACACACACACACACACACACACACACAAACACACACACAAGATTATGACCTCTTAATGTGTTTCATGTGTTAGTGAAGCAAAATTTAATGGGCATAAAGTTGGTTAATTGTAATGTTGAGTGTGTATTGTATATTTACTGGGGAAAATAAAACTTCCACATTTCAAATCCATGTTAAAGAAACTTGAATTTAAATCTCTCCATATACAATGATCATAGAAAACTGATATGGGAACAACCATGTAATTCTAACTTTTGCTATGTTTTTTTCTTTTATACAAGGTAGACTAAAGATGACTAGTCTTCTTGTCCTGTTGTGGCTTCTTGTATTCTTCAATTGTAATTGGGCTGGATCCGGGTTTAGGCATTTACAGCTGCACTAGTAGATGCTGACTTTCCTGCTCCCACTTATCTATAGTTTCTCCAGTCCACTGAAAATTATAAAGGATCCTTCTGAAAGGAGTAAATTATGGCAGAGAGGGGTGTCTGTCAATGGAAAGCAGATTCTTGATGCAACCCATTATTTATTTCTGATATAATATGTGCAAAGGAGGAAATGGAGTTCTGTTACAAAACTTATTAGTAAAATCCTTAAACACACCACCAGCATTTGATGTTATAATAATCAGAAATAATGGTGGAGGCACATGTGATGAAGACTTATTTTACTATATTTATTTGACCACATTGTTCAGATGGAATTGTTTCTAGAGAGAAAATGTTCTTACCGTCATTTGCCAACAAATCACTTCTGTTTTATGGCAGTCCTAACAGAATTTTCAGAGTTTATGAGCTATTCATGGAATGGTTTACCTCAGAAACTCTTACTGTGAGTTTCCATGGCCAAGTAGGAATTTGAACTCAGGTCTTCTAAGTTCCCATCTGACCACTCTATTCACTGCATGACAATCATGTGGACCGTAGGACACAAAGGAACAGGAAGCATGTACTATGAAGCTATTGAAATCATGGTTTTTTCTACCACCACAGTCATCTACTACAAAACCATGCCCAGTGGCTGTAAACCAGTGGAAATTGGCTTCTTTAACTACTTGATGGTGGCTCCTTGCTAACAAACAGTGGGCATACTTTTGTAGAAAGCAGTGGGGATATTTCTCAAAGAAGACTGGACATGCATGTTGGTAACACTATTACCATGCATGTCCATTCTACAAGCTTTTTCATTCAAATGAGCACATATTTCTTGAATATGGAAACTACCTTCTCATGCTCACATGGGAAAGGATCTTATTAGCAGAAAACTGCTGGAATTAGTTATTAACTAATAAGTGATGCACAGAATCTTTTATCAACTAAGCGGGAAAGACAATGTGAGCAGCAGTTGGTGTTCCGAAGTACTAGGAAATCAAGTTCCTAGTATTATTATTAAAAAGATGAGTTTGTGGTATTTCCCCTGTGGTTGTATTCTTATGTATCTTTTCCTGCACATTAATTAGAATCACACATATTAAGAAAACACACTATTGTAGAGCTGACAAGATAAATGGGGGCAAAAAAAAATTAAAGTGGGTAAAATTCCACATTTTTGCCTCCAATTCCACATTTTCGTGGTGAAGGGGCTTTGTCTTCATGCCATAGGCACCAGTTTAAGAGATTGGATGTCTTAATAGTGTCTGGCCTTTTCAGACTTTCGAATCAACTATAAATTATAAATAAAGTCTATGGACAGGAAAGGAAAAGTCTTAGAGGCTTTTCAAGGCTATGAAACCAAGAATTCAAATGGCCAAACAAACAAGAGGTGTAACTGTGCTGTATCTAGTCATGGGATTAGAAAGTTTAAATTCAAGCTGTGCGGTATCAGCCATGAGATCAGAAATTCTCTGATCATGCTTACAGATTCAACATGTTACACAATTGAAGAAAGAAGTTTTTCTGTGGAATATAAACATGCTCAATGTCTGCTTAGAGTCATCTAAGGACTATATTCTTGCACCTTTACATATATTCTCCAACTTTTGATGAAGGACATAGTAAAATGTAAAATCCCACTTCTGAACATGGATAACTATCTGAGCTCCTGAGCATGCACATATACCATTAGACACAGATCCTTCTACTCTGTTAACTCTAGAATAGCCTGTCATCCACAGGTTTAAACTCAATAGTTGTTCTTTAGCATACAAATATGCTTGCAAAGTAGAACAATATGTTGCCGATACAAAATATATTGTGTGTGGATGCAGTAAGGTAACGGTCACATGGTCTGCCCTATGTGGTGCTGAACTGTTCATCCACATGTAATTCTATGTACACACACTAGATGTGGCTGTCCTTCCCATGTAGCCTGACGTTCTAGAAGGTGATAACTGAGAAGAATAGCCACCTTTTCCCTCTGTTTTTGGTGGTACCTGGCAGTAACAAAGATTTTTAAAAGCATCTTGAGCAGTAAAAATCCAGAGACTATATTATTTTAAAAGTGGGAGAAGCTCACTGTATTGAAGTAGTTTGAGTGGGAGAACATATGTTTTTTCAAAAGCACATATATTTTTAAAAAGCATTTTTTTAAAAAATTGATTGCCCTGATTTTAATGCTGGGAGCCTCTAACGTCTAAGCAGCT